TTTTAAACACAAGCTCCATCTATTGGTGGCGAGCAACACCTGCTGGAAACCGGGTGCAGCGTCCCATAGATACAACCATATCCTCACCAATTGGCACAAACTGGGAACCGGGCCCAGCGTCCCATAACGAGCACATTCAGAAAAGTCATCAGAAAATTCCATGAAGATGAAACTAGAAGTCTACTAAGAATTTTGGAGCTACTTCATACTTTTTTTCAAGGAACTTCAGAGTTAGACAAAATTCAAAAAACGACTCAAGAATCCACCATCAGKCCTCTTTACCTCACTCCGGCAAGACTTACTGCAGCAAAGCCACCATCTCTACTGCTGCTATGCCCTGTTTCTGTCCTACCAGCTAGCCCCTTCACTAGTAGGACGCGTGATATCTTTCCCTCTCTCACCTCATTCCTCCTTTTTTTAAGGCTAGAAAGCTACTATGAATCAGAAATATTGGAACCGCTTCAGACATGTCTACAACCCTCCAACCAATCCCCAGGTCCCCACTCCAGCAAGACCTACTGCAGCAGAGCCACCATCTCTGCTGCTGCTGTGCTCTATTACCATCCTACCAGCTAGCCCACTCAAAACCCTTTAAACCCTTTCCCCTCTAAAGGCTCATGTAAAACACATCCGTGATCTTAGTCTGCTGAGGATCAGCAGGAGGTGGGATACAATCCAATGCAATGCGATGCTGCTTTTGGAGTATGATGTAATCCTGCATCTTGGAGAGCGCAGTCACGACTCCATGCTCCTTAAGCCCCCTGCCCAATCGCAGTATCACTTCCCTGGATTTCATTCGTGGCCTGAAGGCCCTGTCTGAAGGTCCTGCTCTGATTAGATGCGTCAGTGTTCATGGTTCCAGCAGCAGGGCATGCAGCAGTGAGACAACGGCTGTTGTTCCGGCCCTCAGTGCCATTACTGTTGTCGTTTTCTGTCAGTCCAACCTTCGTTTATCTGTCGTGTTGTTGCCAACCAGTTGAACGGTCGGAAGAAAATGAGCGGGGGAAGGTGGCGAAGGAGCAGCGGGAGGGGGGGGAGCATGGGCGAAGAGAGGTGGCAGTGGCGGCAAGGCAGCGAGGGGGGGGGGGGACAGTGGTAACTACTGGGCTGGTTGCGGCGGGTGTGGTGGGGGGCGTGGCACTTAGCTTGGGAGGAGGACAAAGTTAGTTTGGAGATAGGGGACCTGAAAGTCAGCGAATGGTTTCCTCTGCCAGGTGGGTTCCGTGGTTCTCCATGGTTTCCATATTATGTCCAGATCAGTGTCAAGGACCGAAAACAATCCTTTGGGGTCCTGCCATATTTGCATGTAGGAGTCGTGGATCACTTGTCTGGCAAGGGGTTTTTTCTCTTCGAAGTGTTGTTGCTTCATGGATTTCCAGGCTTGCTGGGTTGTGGCCCTGATGTCTTCCACGATGGCTTGTTGTACCTGCCGCAGTCCAAATTGGTGGTCTTTCCTTTCAAGGGAGCATCGGGCTCTCCAGGCAAGCATGAGGAGGTGTAGCCTTGTGTAGGAGAAATGGTTTGTTGCAAAGGGGGTCCAGTGGGTCAACAGCTGTCGCCGTTCTCCCAGTAATAAGAGCCCAAGATCCCAAGGTATATGGTGGCCAGTAAGGGAGTGGAAGGCTGCATCCCACCACTGCCATAACTGGGTAACCATAGGACATGCCAGTAGGCAGTGTTCGAGGGTTTGCACGGGCTGGCTGTCGGGATCGGCTACAATAGGCACAGATGGGTGACAGCTTCCCTTGCTGTTCAAGGCCGGGTCGCGACACAAGCCAGTCGGGGCGTCATCATTAGTTTGTGAAACGGTATGTTCCATGGGAAGCACGCTGCTACCAGCGTTCTTCGGGTCCAAGTGTTCGACATAATCAGAAGTTCTCCATGATTAAACTACCTAGACACCTCCAACCCTAAAGCCCGCCAAACTATGCCCATGATTCCTTCCTTTATTTTTACTTTTTCTAATGTTTTCAGTTTTTGCTTTTTTTTTTTTTTTTTTTTTTTTTTTTTTTTTTTTGAAAGAAACATCCCGAGCTAACGCTMGGGGTGCTGATAAGAGCAGACACCGCTAGCGCCGTCAGGAAGGCTCCATCTATTGGTGGGGAGCGGCACCTGCTGGAAATCGGGTCCAGCGTCCCTAGACATGGCAATCATTTGATTATTCGAGCAAAAAAATGTGACGACTTGTAAAGTATGTGCGTAAACAAGTGTATGATGATGAGCAGCATTGATTGTCCTCGAGAAAGGGGATTAGCTGCTCAGAAATCGTGCCTTCCTTACCCTACCGTGCTCCACCCATCCGCCAGTAGGCAAAGTGGTCATCAGCAAACGAGGGGGGAGGGAAACACGGCAGAGCCAGAAACTACAATCGTTTCCCAACACCCCAACCCTAACCGTAATGACAAGCCTCCGCATCAACCATCCTAGGGAAACGGTCATCAAACACTGTATAGTAATTATCAAACACAAGACAGGGATATCGAAGAAAACCCTAACCAGTCCCCCTACCGCCAGAGAGGCCACCCCCCCTGCGTGATTGGAGTTGCGGACCGGACAACTCCAATCCTCGCCAACTAACCCACGCCCATCCGCTGCCAACCAGCAATTGCGCCGTCGATCCCAATAACACCGGTATTATCATCGATCCTTTGACCAACAATTTCATTTCCACAGTTATCGTGGACGAGCCTTTTGCCGTCAATTTCGTCTCCGCAGTTGTCGTCAGCAAGGAAACTGTGGTCAATATTCTTGAGTTGTTTGTTGTTGTTGTTGTCGTTGTTGTTGTTGTTGTTGTTGATGTTGTTGTTGTTGTTCTCGTTGTTGTTGTTGAAAATGTTATCGTCATTGCCGCCGTTTTCATTGATGTTCTCGCCACCTCCAACGACGATCCCTCTGCTAGCAATGTCACCTCCACAGTTGTCGTTCAAGACACCAAGAGAGTTGTAGTTGATAATCGTGAGCTCATTGTTGTTGTTGTTGTTGTTGTTGTTGTTGTTGATGTTATTATCGTTGTTATTGTCATTGTCGTTACTGTCGTTGCAGTCCATGTTGGTGTTGAAGCTGTTGCTGCCTCTGTTGTCTTCAATTGTTGTCGCAGGCGACAATCCCGCCTCCAAAGCTGCACAACGATCCTGACCGTTCCTAAAGATGCCGTAGCATCTGTGCATGAGCGAGTCAGCTTGATGCCAATCAACAAACTCCTCCAGCGAAGGAGTCGGCTCCTCCTCCAACTCCCAAATGATATCAAGCATGCTCTGCATCATGTCCTCCAGCCATGGCGCAAGTGTGACTGTCCCCCCTACAGCCCCCAATCAATCACCATGGCTCGAACACAAAATATCCACAACCTCCTGCAAACGGCGGCCGCCATCTTCTATAGTCTCCAACCATTCTGCCGCACCATTTCGTAATTCTTCATTAGGAACCATGTCGTCCAAAAAACGCGTCGTCGGATCCTGCAAATCAGACGCCTCACACCGACGTATCGTCCCTGGTGTATCTGGCGGGAATACCACCATCGCCTAGGCAGAGCGACCAAGCAGACACCACGATGATCAAGAACAGCTATGGAACCACAACTGTCCCTATCCACGGAGTATGGCTGGACCTCGCCAGTCGGTCCGTAGCGCACGTAAGCGCTAAGCGTCAGCGCGGCCGGATTGCCCTCGTGTCTTTCTCTCTGCTAGCGATGTCACCTCCACAGTTGTCGTTCAAGACACCAAGAGAGTTGTAGTTGATGGGAATGCTCTCGAAACCACCTATCTGACAGCTCTCAATTCTCCCCCCCACTTTTTAGGCTTCATACAAGTAAAAATTGGAAAAATGACACGTGTCACTCGCAATCAACGAAGTCACAAACAGGTGGACAACATGTTACTTTTTAGAGGAGCGATGAGGCAAATTGCAACCAAGCATTTGCAAACGTCTGTGAAGATAGTGTTGCATTCCCGTTTGAAAAAGCATCGCTCCTTAGAATTGAAACAGGCTAACCACAATGAGTATGTGTACAACCATGCATTGGATCAGGTTGTTTCTAATGAGGAAATCCTGACGGAGGAAGAACGTCTACAGCGGAACCGTTCTCTACTGAACCAATCCTCCTCCAAAGGCAATACCAATCAATATCAGGTCTCACCATTAGGTCCCCTGCTGCACACAAATATAAGTCACGGAATGATGACTATGCACCCACAAGGGAGGTCAATGATGGTGACTTTTTCATCCTGATGATTCCTCACCAAGGAAAGGGGTCACGGCTACTGCATTGGTAGCATCCTCAGAATATGGGACAGGATATACAAATGAAGTGGTTGCACGAAAGACCTTTTTTTTTTTTTTTTTTTTTTGAAACATCCTCACCGGTGATAGTGGTGCTGATAAGAGCAGACACCACTAACACCTGGGAAGAGGCTCCATCTATTGGTGGGAGCTGCACGAAAGACAATTAATCCGTTGTCCCAAAGTAATCAGATGCCTGGTGTTGATCGTTTGATCACAGGGGCTATTGATATCGAGAATGGGCAGGACAAGGATCAAAAGGAAAATAGCAATGACCGAGTAATGGTAATGGAAGAGTACCCGATGCTTCAAAGGATGGGAGGGAGAGGAGGAGGCAAAGGGAGGTGGGAAAGCCGAGAAGAAGCGAGTGGAGGGGGAAAAGGAAATTGAGGAAGGGGAGAGAGTGGAGGGAGAGGGAGGGGAGGAAGAAGTGTTGGTGTCTAGGAAATAAAGAGAGGAGGAGAGGGGGAAAGGGGGGAAGAACAAAAGGAGGAGGAAACAACAGATATCAATGCAATTCCAGGGGCTCAGATGACAGGGACAGAGCTGTTGGCCTCGGTGGTCAAAGAAAATCCGAACTCATCTTGGCTTCAGAAAGTGAAGGGTCCGTTTCATGCTACAACATTAGAAATCAAGCGCACAGGACCACGAATGAATACCCTTCAAATCCCCCTTTCCAATATCCCTACAACTCGTTTTTTTTTTCTCTCAAAGTTCTTCAGTCCTTCGGAAAGTCGAGTGGTAGACTCTGGAGGAAAAAAAATTATGATTAAGGCTTATCCTATCCAAAGATTAGCAGAAAGAGATGAGATTTACCAAAATTATGCTAATAATTGGGTGTTTCACGATGATGCAACTTATAAGACGAGTAATGATAAGATTAAATGGATAGGAAAACGCCTTGCATTTTTTAAAGGGAGCCCGGAAGCCGCGAAGCGGCGAATGAAGATTTTCTGATACAACCCATTTCAACGTCCGTGTTTACAGTGCTATGTTTACACACGTCTGACAAGAAAGCAATTGATTTGTGGAAAGAACTCCGTTGTGATCGTTCTGAAGTTAGAATATATCCCTGGTCTCCGCAGAAGCAAGGTCCGGATGAAAGACGACGTCAGATGATGGAAGATTATTTTTGGGTGGAGTTCAGACACATCCCAATAGAGATTCAAGCGGCCTTCATCCATGACTTCGGTGAAATCTATGACATAGTGAACTTCATCGATCCCTTGCAGGCATATGCGGCCAGGCGTGATGACTATCTAATGCTAGCTTTGGATCACCCTTCTAATCAACCTTTCAAATTGGACGATATTATACCTTATAGGATTGGTGGAAAGGAATATCACATACCCACGACACATAAACTTCGTCCTTGGTGTTTCAGGTGTAAAGTTTACGGACACCTAAATACAGACCCAGCCTGTGGACAAAATCCAATGCGCAAGCAAAGAGCTACAGGGAGGTTGATTAGAGATCCATTCAAATCCAACCTATGGTGTACAGTAGACCCGGGTCATGAGGAATGGGTTTATGTTGAGAGTTCTAACCGAAATGGTCCTCCTAAAGGTTGGACGTGGGAAAGGCAGGGGGAGCCAAATTTGGAAACTAAACCTCCGGATAATTGGACTCCGCCGGAAGCTACAACCACGACAGCCAGAACAGGAAAAACACGCGGTCAAAGTAGCCAAGAAGTACCTCGCACCTCAAGGATGGAGCAGACCATTCACCTCCCTGGTGCAGGGCGATCAAACCAGCCTAAGACACAGTCTCAAGGGGGGGATATACCTATTCAATTAAAGCAAAAGTCGTTACTAGGACTGGATCCCAAAAATTATATGCTACCGGAGGGGGCACCAGAAAAGAATGCAGTGCAACAACAGCAGAAACTGCAGAAAAGTGAACAGAGTGTTATTGCAACGGAAGGAGCAACATCTGCAATGAATTTGGTCCCCCCTCCGGAAGTAACTGATTCAGAAGACTCTTCGGATCAAGATGGAAATAATAATAATAATAATAATAATAATAAATGTAATCAGCCTATGGTCCGGGGGAAAGGACTATGGCAAAAGCTAAAAAAAGAAAAAAGAAAAGTGTCAAAACGACAAAAACAGAAAACAAAAATAATAGACAAACTGAGGGATGGGATTCAGGGTCCAAACATACAACAAGGAAGCATGATAGGAGGGGAAGATCATGACCAAGAAAAAAGTCCTGATCCTTTCAAGGATTCTTTTGGTCCAGTCCCAATGGACGTTGATTCACAACAACCTTCCGATGCTCCAATGACAGATGTCTTCCCCCAGTCAACTGGGGAAGGTCAATCAGAGATCCCACTGGATCAGAAAATAATACAGTTAGCGGATTGGATAATTGAGAGGCTCAAAATTACATTCAGAACTGATTCGGTGGAATTTTGGGACCTCTCTTATTTACAACTTGTTGATATATTGAATGGTAGTGAGAGTTTGAGAAGAGTGTTGCAACAAGGGTTATCGACAGGAGCTCGCTGGACTGTAGTGAGCCAGCGGATGTTACAAGTGGTGGAAGCACTATTCCACCCTCCTTCCCCTCAGTCGACCCCTGGAAATTCGGAGGTAGAAGAGCAGCATAACGCGCTCGTTCCAGTTGATCCAGTTGATCCTGCGGCTCAAAGGAATGTGTCTTCCAATCAGGAAGAGGAACCCCAGTTGCTTGTAGTGCAGTCCTCTCTCGCTGAACCACCAGAGATTACCCCCTCTCCTCTAAGTGACTCTGGGTTATCATAATCAGAAGAGGAAGGGATTAACTTGAAGCAGACCAAAGATAATCAAGGGGAAAAAGAAGGAAGATAGTTTGAAGGTGATCTATCAATTAATGCTAATGAAGGCTCAGAAAATCAACAACAGAGTCCTCAACAGCTCCAATTGCAGTCGCATACGCTGTTACATCCCCTTTCTTCAGACTTCACACAACAAATAACATATGTTGATACAGTTGTAGTTAATGATAAGAATTTGTCCTCTCAAGGACATCAACATCAGCAGTCATCACAACAGGAGGAACAACGGAAGCAGGTGGAGCAACAGAAGCACCTCTAGTCATGCAGTCACAAAGTACAAAGTCTCCTCAATCCTTGGTTTCCTTCCCTCCTCCAGTTGCACAGGTGGCTGGTAAGAGATTAAAATTGAGACAAATTTTTAAAAAAGGACAAGTAAATAAGTCACAAATTTCAAAAGGCAATTTGATTATCCCAGTAAGAAAAAAGGAATGAAAATGGGAAATTGGTCTTTCTCCAATTGGTCAGGATCAGTATGGTGGAGTTACTTACATTAAGGGGGTGGTCATCTTATGTGGAATATCAATGTGCGGGTGATCGTCAATTAAAAAAAAATCTTAATGATTTCCTTTCCAAACATTTTGACCCGAGTCCTCAAGCTACCATTACGGAATCTAGGGAGAAGTCCCAGATGGTCAAGCGGGTCATTTTTGTCAAATTTGAGGAACATAAGGAAGCTGGACTGAAGTGGTATACACACTCGGCCTTGATGGATCTGCAGCACCTGAAATGTAAGGCTAATGCGGTCTGGACAGGCTCAGAAGTGGTAGTTTTCTTGTGTTTCATCCTCCGCAGAGGAATCCTACAAGTTTCCTCTGAGTTGGATAAGGGCAATTGGGTGCGCTTGTAAAAAAAAACAGTTTGGAAATGGGGTGACCACTAGATAGTCATGGAGGCTCTTCATGCACATTATGGGAAAAACCCCTCCTAACACCTCGCAACTAAATCAGCAGACTTGGATCTTAGATCTATTAATGTTAATGGTTTAGCAACAACTAATGTGGAAAAAAGGAACGCCTTAATGGAACAGTTCAAAGGCGTAGGGGGTCGTCATTGGCCTGACTTGATATGTATTCAAGAAACGCATTTAACGGACTCTCCTACGCATGTACGAACTCACAACATTGTATGGTTGTTTCATAAATTTGTTGCCCATGCTCCAAGAAGTGGGTCAGGGGGAGTGGCGATCTGGATCCCACCGGACTCTAGGGTATAAATAATACATTGGTCAGCAGATAAGGAGCAGGGTCGATGGATTTCAATTTTGGTTAT